CGACCTGGGAGTGAGGATGTGTTGAATATAACAACAAGTGTATCTCGAGCCGCTTTCTCAAACTTACCTACCCCACCTTTAAGTAACACTACTACATACATTTAATAGATGAGAATACTTTTATACTTTTACTTGAGGAACATTTTGAATGCAGGACTTTTACTGTAACAGAGTATTCCTACACTCTGGTACTTCTACTTTTACTGAAGTACAAGATCTGAGTACTTCTACTTTTACTCAAGTACAAGATCTGAGTACTTCTACTTTTACTCAAGAACAATACCTGAGTACTTCTACTTTTACTCAAGTACAAGACCTGAGTACTTCTACTTTTACTCAATTACAAGATCTGAGTACTTCTACTTTTACTCAAGTACAATATCTGAGTACTTCTACTTTTACTCAAGTGCAAGACCTGAGTACTTCTACTTTTACTCAAGAACAATACCTGAGTACTTCTACTTTTACTCAAGTACAAGACCTGAGTACTTCTACTTTTACTCAAGAACAAGACCTGAGTACGTCTACTTTTACTCAAGTACAAGACCTGAGTACTTCTACTTTTACTCAAGTACAAGACCTGAGTACTTCTACTTTTACTCAAGAACAATACCTGAGTACGTCTACTTTTACTCAAGTACAAGACCTGAGTACTTCTACTTTTACACAAGGACAAGATCTGAGTACTTCTACTATTACTTAAGAACAATACCTGAGTACTTCTACTTTTACTCAAGTACAAGACCTGAGTACTTCTACTTTTACTCAATTACAAGATCTGAGTACTTCTACTTTTACTCAAGTACAAGATCTGAGTACTTCTACTTTTACTCAAGGACAAGATCTGAGTACTTCTACTTTTACTCAAGGACAAGATCTGAGTACTTCTACTTTTACTCAAGAACAATACCTGAGTACTTCTACTTTTACTCAAGTACAAGACCTGAGTACTTCTACTTTTACTCAATTACAAGATCTGAGTACTTCTACTTTGACTCAAGTACAATATCTGAGTACTTCTACTTTTACTCAAGTACAAGACCTGAGTACTTCTACTTTTACTCAAGGACAAGATCTGAGTACTTCTACTTTTACTCAAGAACAAGATCTGAGTACTTCTACTTTTACTCAAGTACAAGATCTGAGTACTTCTACTTTTACTCAAGAACAATACCTGAGTACTTCTACTTTTACTCAATTACAAGATCTGAGTACTTCTACTTTTACTCAAGTACAAGATCTGAGTACTTCTACTTTTACTCAAATACAAGATCTGAGTACTTCTACTTTTACTCAAGGACAATATCTGAGTACTTCTACTTTTACTCAAGTACAATACCTGAGTACTTCTACTTTTACTCAAGTACAATATCTGAGTACTTCTACTTTTACTCAAGTACACGATCTGAGTACTTCTACTTTTACTCAAGTACAAGATCTGAGTACTTCTACTTTTACTCAAGTACAATACCTGAGTACTTCTACTTTTACTCAAGTACAATATCTGAGTACTTCTACTTTTACTCAAGTACACGATCTGAGTACTTTTACTTTTACTCAAGTACAATATCTGAGTACTTCTACTTTTACTCAAGTACACGATCTGAGTACTTCTACTTTTACTCAAGTACAAGATCTGAGTACTTCTACTTTTACTCAAGTACAATACCTGAGTACTTCTACTTTTACTCAAGTACACGATCTGAGTACTTCTACTTTTACTCAAGTACAAGACCTGAGTACTTCTACTTTTACTCAAGTACAATACCTGAGTACTTCTACTTTTACTCAAGTACAATATCTGAGTACTTCTACTTTTACTCAAGTACACGATCTGAGTACTTTTACTTTTACTCAAGTACAATATCTGAGTACTTCTACTTTTACTCAAGTACACGATCTGAGTACTTCTACTTTTACTCAAGTACAAGATCTGAGTACTTCTACTTTTACTCAAGTACAATACCTGAGTACTTCTACTTTTACTCAAGTACAATATCTGAGTACTTCTACTTTTACTCAAGTACACGATCTGAGTACTTCTACTTTTACTCAAGTACAATATCTGAGTACTTCTACTTTTACTCAAGTACACGATCTGAGTACTTCTACTTTTACTCAAGTACAAGATCTGAGTACTTCTACTTTTACTCAAGTACAATACCTGAGTACTTCTACTTTTACTCAAGAACAATACCTGAGTACTTCTACTTTTACTCAAGTACACGATATGAGTACTTCTACTTTTACTCAAGTACCACATCTGAGTATTTCTCCCACCTCTGCTGAAAACTACGACTAGGACAAAATAACTAATTGGGATATTTTTGACAGATATTGCAAATTTGTGAATGATAATTATTGGAACATTATTCACATTATCACAGAAATTAAAACACATACATGTGTTCACCACTAGGGGGGGCTACAGGATTATTATTGCTAACTACAAGCAGCTAAAACAGAAGAGGGGTGTACTGCAACTTTAATACATCTCCATGAATAAAGCATCTGGAAATAGATGGAAGCCGTGGAGGATGTGCTGGATATGTATTATTATTCTTCTTCTCTCTTTTATTGTGGTTTCTCTCTCTCTGCAGCACAGGCTGTCACTGCCTGATGATTCATTTACACGGACTCAAATATGCACCAGACCGGCTGTGTTTTATGTCTTACTGCTTTGGACAAAATCTTAGACATTTTTACTGTGCAAAAAACGAGCAGAAAGTGTAGTTCATTTTCAAAATACGAGCATAATATAAGCAACTGTATGAAACACTGACTCTTTTATATTAAAAATAAGGTTATATTATTGGTAGATAAAATGTATTTAGCGATTAAAAGTATATTTTACACTGTAAATATTACATTCATGCCATTTTTAGAAGGTAATTATGCATTATTTGATATTTCTGGCCACTTGGAAGGCATTCAAATCATATTTTGTTAGGGTTATTATTATCTCTGCATGTTGAACACTTTCTTTAGTTGTTCATTGTTGGTCTCTCCAAACTCCAATGGAAATATCTCTATTTTAACACTAATTCCACTCATTTATGAATGATGCATTCACAGTGGCTTCAAAATAAAGTCTTAACCCATGTCTTTAGTCCCTTTCAGTGCCATTTTAATATCAATGGTGAGGGAAACACTTCTATATTTCATAAGCGAAACTACAAGGAAAACTACAAGAACTACAAAACTACAGGAAGTCGGCCATCTTTGAAGGACACCAGCAAACGCAACTTGTTGACTTTTTTACAGCGAGTGAAGAAACATGACTTTTTTTAATGCTTCAATGAAGTTCCCGTACTGTTTCGGACGCAAAACAGCTGACCTGTAAAAGCCGATAGATATTGGCGTTTGCTGACGTTACTAGACGTTACTATAGACGTTACTATAGACGTTACTATAGACGTTACTATAGACGTTACTAGACGTTACTATAGACGTTACTATAGACGTTACTAGACGTTACTATAGACGTTACTATAGACGTTACTAGACGTTACTATAGACGTTACTATAGACGTTACTAGACGTTACTATAGACGTTACTATAGCTATAGACGTTATCCTTCAAAGATGGCCGCCCCGCGCCCTCGAATGCACCGTGGCTCCCGTTATCTATTTGAGGTTAAAGGGGTGATTCAGGGTGAAGCTGTAAGAGCCTAATCTCCACTACACTCACTTTATTCACATACGGCTTCCAGCGGTACGTCTGAACCCTTCTCAGCTGCAGGAACACAAACGCACCACAAAGAGAGAAAAATACTGAAGAAAGTGAAACAAAAATCCTGTTTTTATACGTGTGTGTGTGTGTGTGTGTGTGTGTGTGTGTGTGTGTGTGTGTGTGTGTGTGTGTGTGTGTGTGTGATGTAACAGATTGTGCTGAGCTGTCTTTCCCTCTTAATAGTGATGTTGTAATCCAGTAGTGTTGGAGGGATTAGTGGATTAATGGATTAGTGAAGTGATTCCTTAAAACAGAGTAATGTCCACCTGCGATCCTCCGTATGTGGTGACATGTTGCTGTTAAATGAAAAACACCACACATCTTTTACTTACTAAGTTATTTTTAAGGAAAACGTTTCAAAAGGAAAACAGCTAAATGTACAAAGTTTGACAAAGATGTCAATATTTTATTTAGTAGAAATGTATTTTTATTCTGCTGTACCTTCCTATTTACTGTGTAGTCACTCAAGTTGTATATGAAGTCTTAGGGCCATTGTAATTAAAAATCAGTATCATTTGAAGAGAAAACTACTTGGCCAGCACTGACAGTAAAGTGGAACATTTACGAGTAAAAATGCTGAAAGTAATTTATAGATATCTGAGATTGAAAAATCACTAATTTCTCAGGAATTAAGTCTGAGAAATAAATCAGGTATCGTCTGAGATTTAAATCACACATTTGGTTTAGGTAAAACGTCTGCATGGCTTGAATCCATTGATATTTAAATGTGCTCTATCATTAACCTACGGAAGAGGATTAGGGTCACTTGTGAACCTTTTGTTGTTCTGAGTAAAATTCGGGTTTCACAAAAAAAAAGATATTCTGACTTGTTTGCGAAAAAGTTCGAAAATATAAGATTTCTTTTTTTTAGATTTTTTGTTTTCTGAGATTAATCTCATACTTGTGTCTCAGAACTCAAAAAGTAAATACATTTTGGGAAGATCTCAATTACTTTTTCCTGCAGTCATCCCCTTTCTTCGATATAACTTAACGTAGTATTTTATATTTACATGTATATAGACTTTTTGCACACTTTGTATTTTGTATTTTATTATATATGTTGCATCGTTGGAGGAGCTCAGGTCAGAAGAATTTCATTGCCATTTCTACAGCTTTGTGCATATGATGATAACACCTTAACACCTTTGAATCTTTGAATGTTAACAGATCCCTTTTCTTCAATATAACTTATAACTAGTCATTTATAAAGATAGTCCCTTGACGTTAACATGAATGAATCCAGAGTGATGATGGTCGGTGTACGTACGGTGGAAGTGGAGTCCCTCCTCTCCTCCACAGGACTGTCTTTGGGGGTCAGGGTGACGGACAGGTCCAGAGAACCCAGATCCTGGTCCGGGTACTGAGGGTCCTTCAGAACCAGCGTCACAGGAATACACCTGAAACACAGAGAGGGGAAATCACAGGAGATATCAGGGAGAGATTTAGGAAGAGAAGAGAGTCGTAAACAAAAGACATTCAAATCATATGTTGTTGTAAACATTCCCAATCAGAGACAGAAAACAACCATAGCTGATCCAACTAGTTAGTTAGTTAGTAAGGTAGTTAGTTTGTGAGTTTGTAAGTTAGTTAGTTAGTTAGTTAGTTGGTTAGTATGTTAGTATGTAAGTTGGTTGGTTGGTTGAATTCAGACAGTTGGTTGGTATTTAAGTTGGTATGTAACTAAGATAGTTGGTTGGTTTGTAAGTTGGTTATTTAGTTATTTAATTGGTTGGTTGGTTGAATTTAGATAGTTGGTTGGTTAGTTGGTATGTTAGTAAGATAGTGTGTTGGTTTGTAAGTTAGTTAGTTAGTTAGGTTGGTTGGTTTATTGGTCAGTTGGTTGGTCAGTTGGTTGAATTAAGTAAGTTAATAGGTTAGTTGGTATGTAATTAAGATAGTTGGCTGGTTAGTTGGTTTGTAAGTTAGTTAGTGAATTAGTTGGTTGGTTAGTTTAATTTAGATAGTTGGTTGGTTAGTTGGTATGTAAGTAAGCTAGTTAGTTAGTTAGTTAGTTAGTAAGCTAGTGAGTTAGTTAGGTAGTTAGTTAGTTAGTTGGGTGGTTGGTTGATAGGGTTAGTTGGTATGTAAGTAAGCTAGTTAGTTAGTTAGTTATTTAGTTAGTTGGGTGGTTGAATTTAGATGGTTGGTTAGTTATGGGAAGTGAAGGAGTTCAAGTATCTCGGGGTCTTGTTCTCGAGTGAGGGAACAATGGAGCGTGAGATGGGCCGGAGAATCGGAGCAGCGGGAGCGGTACTGCAGTCGCTTTACCGCACCGTTGTGACGAAAAGGGAGCTGAGCCAGAAGGCAAAGCTCTCTGTCTACCGGGCCATTTTCGTTCCTACCCTCACCTATGGTCATGAAGGATGGGTCATGACTGACAGAACGAGATCGCGGATACAAGCGGCCGAGATGGGTTTTCTCCGCAGGGTGGCTGGTGTCTCCCTTAGGGATAAGGTGAGAAGTTCAGTCATCAGGGAGGGACTCGGAGTTGAGCCGCTCCTCCTTCGCGTCGAAAGGAGCCAGTTGAGGTGGTTCGGGCACCTAGTTAGGATGCCACCTGGGCGCCTCCCTAGGGAGGTGTTCCAGGCACGTCCAGCTGGGAAGAGATCAAGGGGTAGACCTAGGACCAGGTGGAGGGATTATATCTCTTCGCTGGCCTGGGAGCGCCTTGGGATCCCCCAGTCAGAGCTGGTTGATGTCGCCAGGGAAAAGAAAGTTTGGGGCTCTCTGCTGGAACTGCTACCCCCGCGACCCGACCACGGATAAGCGGGAGAAGATGGATGGATGGATGGATGGTTAGTTATGGGGTTAGTTGGTATGTAAGTAAGCTAGTTAGTTAGTTAGTTAGTTATTTAGTTAGTTGGGTGGTTGGTTGGTTGGTTGAATTGAGATGGTTGGTTAGTTATGGGGTTAGTTGGTATGTAAGTAAGCTAGTTAGTTAGTTAGTTAGTTAGTTATTTAGTTATTTAGTTGGGTGGTTGGTTGGTTGGTTGAATTTAGATGGTTGGTTAGTTATGGGGTTAGTTGGTATGTAAGTAAGCTAGTTAGTTAGTTATTTAGTTAGTTGGGTGGTTGGTTGGTTGAATTTAGATGGTTGGTTAGTTATAGGGTTAGTTGGTATGTAAGTAAGCTAGTTAGTTAGTTATTTAGTTAGTTGGGTGGTTGGTTGGTTGAATTTAGATGGTTGGTTAGTTATAGGGTTAGTTGGTATGTAAGTAAGCTAGTTAGTTAGTTATTTAGTTAGTTGGGTGGTTGGTTGGTTGGTTGAATTTAGATGGTTGGTTAGTTATAGGGTTAGTTGGTATGTAAGTAAGCTAGTTAGTTAGTTATTTAGTTATTTAGTTGGGTGGTTGGTTGGTTGGTTGAATTTAGATGGTTGGTTAGTTATAGGGTTAGTTGGTATGTAAGTAAGCTAGTTAGTTAGTTATTTAGTTAGTTGGGTGGTTGGTTGGTTGAATTTAGATGGTTGGTTAGTTATAGGGTTAGTTGGTATGTAAGTAAGCTAGTTAGTTAGTTATTTAGTTAGTTGGGTGGTTGGTTGGTTGAATTTAGATAGTTGGTTAGTTATAGGGTTAGTTGGTATGTAAGTAAGCTAGTTAGTTAGTTATTTAGTTATTTAGTTGGGTGGTTGGTTGGTTGGTTGAATTTAGATGGTTGGTTAGTTATAGGGTTAGTTGGTATGTAAGTAAGCTAGTTAGTTAGTTATTTAGTTAGTTGGGTGGTTGGTTGGTTGAATTTAGATGGTTGGTTAGTTATAGGGTTAGTTGGTATGTAAGTAAGCTAGTTAGTTAGTTATTTAGTTAGTTGGGTGGTTGGTTGGTTGAATTTAGATAGTTGGTTAGTTATAGGGTTAGTTGGTATGTAAGTAAGCTAGTTAGTTAGTTATTTAGTTAGTTGGGTGGTTGGTTGGTTGAACTTAGATGGTTGGTTAGTTATAGGGTTAGTTGGTATGTAAGTAAGCTAGTTAGTTAGTTATTTAGTTAGTTGGGTGGTTGGTTGGTTGAATTTAGATAGTTGGTTAGTTATAGGGTTAGTTGGTATGTAAGTAAGCTAGTTAGTTAGTTATTTAGTTAGTTGGGTGGTTGGTTGGTTGAATTTAGATGGTTGGTTAGTTATAGGGTTAGTTGGTATGTAAGTAAGCTAGTTAGTTAGTTATTTAGTTAGTTGGGTGGTTGGTTGGTTGAATTTAGATGGTTGTTTAGTTATAGGGTTAGTTGGTATGTAAGTAAGCTAGTTAGTTAGTTAGTTAGTTATTTAGTTAGTTGGTTGGTTGAATTTAGATAGTTGGTTGGTTAGTTATAGGGTTAGTTGGTATGTAAGTATGACAGTTGGTTGGTTTGTAATTTAGTTAGTGAGTGAATTGGTTGGTTAGTTCGATATAAGGTATCACTTATGTAATATAAATAGTTACATCCATCCATCTTCTCCCGCTTATCCGTGGTCGGGTCGCGGAGGAAGCAGTTACTAGTTGTATATTTTAGAAAAACTCATCACATTCATGTCGGTCCAAACTAGGGTTTTCATTCATCACTGAATGCTAATCAGTTCTGGTCGGACACTGCAAGGTGAAGTATTGTGTGTTATTAGGAATTGTCTGTAAATAAAGAAGGCCATTGAGCAAACAGCAGGAGTGTGTGTTTACGTTGGCTCTCCTGCAGGTTCTCTGTCATGTTTTCAGTAAACTGCTGTAATGAGAGCTGGGAGGCTGACGAGGAGTGGAGCCTGAGGGCTGATAAAGTAAGACACACCGCAGCTTCATAAAAGAAAAAGTAAATAAAGCAGAATAAGGAGGTCAAATGGAGGATCTGTTCAATGATCAATATCCAGACATGCTTTACAGAGAAGCTGATGAAGAAGGCTCGGTGTAAAATCAATAATGCTGTGATCAGTGTGAATGGACGCTACATCATGTTAATGGCTTACCTCTGTCTCAGAAGACGTCAGTATGTCTGAGACAGACCATCAATTCAACTAAAAGCTCCAGAGAAATCAAATGCATTGACGTTTGTTGTCTTCCAGGTCACAACACCCAATCACAATAAAAGCCCTAGACATTTAATCGATGCCTATCAAGGAGCATTAACTGTGGATCACATGTATTGTTTTAGTATTGGATTTGATAAGAGTCGTTTTGTTTGTAGTAGATACACCAAAATGATTTACCTCTGCTGCTCCAGAGACTCCATGTAAAGATAAGCAGAACCCATGAAGTCGTCCTGGAGTCCGAAGTCGTAGTCGAACACCTGCAGAGGAGACACACACACACACACATACCATGTATACATCACTTCAGGGGACATTACATTGACTTACATGCATTTCCTGGAGACTTATCCTAACCTTAACCATAACCAACGCATACCTAACCCTAACCCTTACCCTAACCCTAACCCTAACCCTAACCAAGTCTTCACCCTAAAATGAATGATTCCCCTTATGGGGACCTCCAATTTGTCCCCATAAGGGAGGCGAGTGTGTAAACAGATTTAGGTCCCCACAAGTATAGTAATGCTAGGCCACACACAGACACACACAAAACACACACACAAAACACACTCACACACACACATACACACACACACCTCCACTCAATACTCATCAATAATGCACAGGGAAACATTCAAAGTGTCAGGGGAAGGATGAAGTGCTCCTTTAAGTGTTCAGAACAAAATAAATAGTATTTAAAAAGCCTCTTGGATCCGCTGGAAAATGCCTCGTCACAAAGCAGACAACTCGTGATAAGGTTGAGACTTTTTAGAGATAGAAACATATGAAGATCTTATTGGATATGATGCAAAGCTGCAAATTGAACTAGCCAACAGTTTGTATAGGAGGTCAAATATCTACAGCAGTAACATGTAGAAACATGTAATGAATCATAACAAAAAGTATGTTAAAAAAGTCTTAAAAATACCAGACAAATGTAGGAAAATATTATCTAAAAAAATTGCAATATGTCAAACAATTATGTGGAAAATGGATAAAAAAAATATATTTAAAGAATTATGAAAATTTTTTTAAATAAGTAGAAACATTTGATAAAAAAATATTTGAAACATGTGTGTTAAATGTTTGAATACTTGTCTAAAATGTGATAAATAAATGAACATTTAAGATAATTGATGCAGAAAATGTCCAAAATAATTCCCCTAAATGTGTTAGAAATGTATGGAAAACACGCAATGCTTCAGATTAAACAAACTAATTCTAATTTAATGACATTGTGAAAATATCCAAAATATATATGTGAATAGTTTGAAAATAACCTAAAAAATAATTATGAAAAAATGTGTAAAATAATTTATAAAAATTATATGAATATGAAAAAAATTCTAAAATGTTGAGAAAAAATGTGAAAATGTCCGTGGATTTTTGGAAAATGTCCAAATGTGTGTGAACATCGTGTGATATATTTACCTTGACATACAGAGGGTCGCTCAGGCAGTCCAGGATTATCGTGGTCTTCTCGTCCCACACCGGGTTCAGGTTCTTGTGGATGGTTTTGCTTCGAAACACCTCCTTCCCAGAGAGCTTGAACTTCACATACGGGTCGCTGCTGCCTGTAAACACGAACCTGAGTCAAATATATAATCATTTAAAACATATAGTGTTATACTCTGATTGCCTTTACTGTTAAATTGTGTTTTTAGGTCTGTGTTTAACAGAGACATGTGTTAAGGGTTTACATGTCAGGAGGCTAAAGGAAGTAAAAGGGAGTTATTGTCCCCATGGAGATGTATGTTATATGTGCAGTAACTAGTCTAGTATGTATTTATGTAATGTATGTATGTTTGTATGTATGTATGTTGTATGTATGTATGTATGTTTGTATGTATGTATGTTGTATGTATGTATGTATGTTGTATGTATGTTGTATGTATGTTTGTATGTATGTATGTTGTATGTATGTATGCATGTATGTTTGTATGTATGTATGTTGTATGTATGTATGCATGTATGTTTGTATGTATGTATGTATGTATGTTGTATGTATGTATGTTTGTATGTATGTATGTTGTATGTATGCATGTATGTTGTATGTATGTTGTATGTATGTATGCATGTATGTTTGTATGTTTGTATGTATGTATGTTGTATGTATGTATGTATGTATGTATGTATGTTGTATGTATGTTGTATGTATGTTTGTATGTATGTTTGTATGTATGTATGTTTGTATGTATGTATGTTGTATGTATGTATGTTGTATGTATGTATGTTGTATGTATGTATGCATGTATGTTTGTATGTTTGTATGTATGTATGTTGTATGTATGTATGTATGCATGTATGTTTGTATGTATGCATGTATGTTTGTATGTATGCATGTATGTTTGTATGTATGCATGTATGTTTGTATGTATGTTGTATGTTTGTATGTATGTTGTATGTATGTATGTTTGTATGTATGTATGTAGTATGTATGTATGTATGTTGTATGTATGTATGTATGTTGTATGTATGTATGTATGTCTGAAGAGTATTACAAAAGAAGAAACAGGACTCCTCCCACCTCCCCGGTCTCTGACGGCCAGGTTGTTCCCTCTCTTCAGATCGATCTCCAGTTTGTACATGCTGGAGGAGGCTCGCTCCGACGAGGGCGGAGCTCCGATTCCCTGGAGACATTCATGCTTTCATTTAATCATTGTTGTTGGGAACATCCTGAATGTCCTCTTCCAACATGAGAGTCACATGATAACAAAGGTATCCCAACTTCATGACAGGATGTGTGATTACCTAGAAGAGCATCAGGACTGTTTGAGGCAGATGATAGCAATGTGATTAACATGATGATTCAGCCTCTATGGAGAGAGACATCAAGCATGCTCATTTCTGACGTGGAGCTAATCTGAAGTAAACATTGAATACTGCTTTCTATTCCTCCATTCCTACATTTCAGATCCATTTCACTTTATATTGACTTTCTTTAATATAACAAAAGACAAACTTTGGCCAACAATGACCACACACACACACCCACACACACACACACACACACACACACACACACACACACACACACACACACACACACCACACACACACACACAACACACACACACCACACACACACACACACACACACACACACACACACACACACACACACACACACACACACACACACACACACACACACACACACACACACACACACACACACACACACACACACACACACACACACACACACACACACACACACACACACACACACACACACACACAGTTTATAAAGTGGTAAAAACAGGATTTTAATATGTTGCTAGTTTCACAAATCTGTGCAAATCTTTCGACTCCACTTCGAGCGATAGAATTACTAACAAAGCACTTATATACTAACAAAGGACTGGCTTATCTAAAGCCAGTTGAGTAGCACTTGAAATGTTGTGGCTCTATGAACCTGATGTACTTTATGATTCTGTTTTCTTCAAGGTTGTATCTTGTTGGTCGAATGCACGCTTTGGATAGAAGCGTCAGCTAAATGCAATGTGCAGAATTCATCATTTGTTAGTGGAACACCTCATAAAGAAGTGCTATAACTGTGGAAAATAATCAATTTTGCTCGACAACCGTACGTGCATAACATAAATAATAATCAAATGGAGAGGAATAACTAAATGTGTTGTGCTATTGGATCAAATATCACTTCCTGGAGAGCTAACTGTGTGGTATTTGTTGTTTCTGAGGTCATTACTCTCCTTATACCACTATAGGACCACCAAGACCAATACCACAAAGAGACACAACACAACCACAAAGATAAACAACACAACCACAAAGATAAACAACACAACCACAAAGATAAACAACACAACCACAAAGATAAACAAAATGAACTCAAGGAGACTTACAATTACAATAAAGCAATAAAAAAGGACACAAGGACTCAAAAAGGACAAAACAACGGTTTCACGTCTCCTCACTGCCTGCAGAGATAGCTGTCTGTAGTTTGGGTCGCTTCTCTCCTACAATTCAATGTTAGAGTGGCAGTGCATTGCATTTGGCTAGGATGTATCTTGATGTCGTCAATGTTCACTGCTCAATGCAGAATAACGACTCCTCGTTTCACTATATGTCACAATCCTGGTTTTCTGTCACAACCTTAGTTTTCTGTCACAACCTTAGTTGTCTGTCTTGTCATGATTTTATGTTGAAATTATGTTCTCCCTGTGTCTTGTATTCCTTCCTGTGTTATCCCTCCTGTGTCTCATTGTCACAGTTAGTTTTGTCTGGATGCGACCTCGTTTTACCTACTCTTTGGATTACCTCGTGTTACCTACTCTTTGGATTACCTCGTGCTACCTACTCTTTGGATTACCTCGTGTTACCTACTCTTTGGATTACCTCGTGTTACCTACTCTTTGGATTACCTCGTGTTACCTACTCTTTGGATTACCTCGTGTTACCTACTCTTTGGATTACCTCGTGTTACCTACTCTTTGGATTACCTCGTGTTACCTACTCTTTGGATTACCTCGTGCTACCTACTCTTGGATTACCTCGTGTTACCTACTCTTTGGGATTACCTCGTGTTACCTACTCTTTGGATTACCTCGTGTTACCTACTCTTTGGATTACCTCGTGCTACCTACTCTTTGGATTACCTCGTGCTACCTACTCTTTGGATTACCTCGTGTTACCTACTCTTTGGATTACCTCGTGCTACCTACTCTTTGGATTACCTCGTGTTACCTACTCTTTGGATTACCTCGTGCTACCTACTCTTTGGATTACCTCGTGCTACCTACTCTTTGGATTACCTCGTGCTACCTACTCTTTGGATTACCTCGTGTTACCTACTCTTTGGATTACCTCGTGTTACCCACTCTTTGGATTACCTCGTGTTACCTACTCTTTGGATTACCTCGTGCTACCTACTCTTTGGATTACCTCGTGCTACCTACTCTTTGGATTACCTCGTGCTACCTACTCTTTGGATTACCTCGTGCTACCTACTCTTTGGATTACCTCGTGCTACCTACTCTTTGGATTACCTCATGCTACCTACTCTTTGGATTACCTCGTGTTACCTACTCTTTGGATTACCTCGTGTTACCTACTCTTTGGATTACCTCGTGTTACCCACTCTTTGGATTACCTCGTGCTACCTACTCTTTGGATTACCTCGTGTTACCCACTCTTTGGATTACCTCGTGTTACCTACTCTTTGGATTACCTCGTGCTACCCACTCTTTGGATTACCTCGTGTTACCCACTCTTTGGATTACCTCGTGTTACCCACTCTTTGGATTCATGGTTTTGTTAAGTATTTTTCATTGTCAACAGCTTTCTTTTGTAAGTAAAACTCGCCTTTTGTTACATTTTGAAACCCGCTTCCCTTTTAAATCTGCATTTCTGCAGGTCCTACCTTTTCCCGAACCGTAACACTATACTATCCTGTCTTCCTTTCACAATAAAAGCCCTCGACATAAACCCTGCGTCAATGCTTATCAACGAGCATTTTGATGAGAGGAAACTCAACAAAATAGTTCAGTTTCATAAAGTAAACTCTAAAAACTGTAAATAGAAAGTAGAAACTGGGCTTTACTTTGAAATCTGGTCCTGCAGATCACAATCTCTCTTTCACAATAAAATCCCCACACATCATCATCATCTCCATCAAACAGAGAATTTCACCCCAAAATAGAGAATCACCAACTTCCTATCAGCAGAAATTAAAGCACAAACATCTCATAATCAACAGAAACTCACCGGCATCTCTAGGAAAGATCAAAGCCCATATGAATCTGTCTCTGGAGCCTCCACTTCCTCCGTGTGTCTGCTCTAACACACACTCACACTCTGAAGATAAACTCAGATCAGTTATCGTCCCGGGGGTTTCACTACTAACAGCAAATTACACAAGACGCTTCCTCCCGTGCAATCAGAGCGTTGTGAGATGATATTGTGTTTCCATTCTTGTACAACTCTCACTTCCACTGCAGCGGAAACCACACACACACACACACACACACACACACAGTTAGGTTGTAACGGATTACATGTAACGGCGTGGACAACCACGAAGATACACAACAACCACAAAGATACAAAAAACAACCACGAAGATACAAAAAACAACCACGAAGATACAAAAAACAACCACGAAGATACACAACAACCACAAAGATACAAAAAACAACCACAAAGATACACAACAACCACAAAGATACACAAAACAACCACGAAGATACAAAAAAACAACCATGAAGATACACAACAACCACAAAGATACACAAAACAACCACAAAGATACACAAAACAACCACGAGGATACACAAAACAACCACGAAGATACAAAAAACAACCACGAAGATACACAACAACCACAAAGATACACAAACACAACCACGAATATACACAAAACAACCACGAAGATACAAAAAACAACCACGAAGATACAAAAAACAACCACGAAGATACAAAACAACCACGAATATACAAAAACAACCACAAAGATACACAACACGACCACAAAGATACACAACACAACAACAAAGATAAACAAAATGAACTCAAGGAGACTTACAATTACAATAAAGCAATACAAAAAGGACTCAAGGACTCAAAAAGGACAAAACAACGGTTTCACGTCTCCTCACTTGCCTGCAGAGATAGCGGTCTGTAGTTTGGGTCGCTTCTCTCCTACAATTCAATGTTAGAGTGGCAGTGCATTGCATTTGGCTAGGATTTATCTTGATGTAGTCAATGTTCATTGCTCAATGCAGAATAACGACTCCTCGTTTCACTATATGTCACAATCCTGGTTTTCTGTCACAACCTTAGTTTTCTGTCACAACCTTAGTTGTCTGTCTTGTCATGACTTGTCAGATCAGTTATCGTCCCGGGGGTTTCACTACTAACAGGAAATTACACGAGACGCTTCCTCCCGTGCGATCAGAGCGTTGTGAGATGATATTTTCTTTTCTTATCAAGCTCCACATTTACACAAGATACAAAAAACAACCACAAAGTTACACAACAACCACAAAGATACACAAAACAACCACAAAGATACACAACAACCACGAAGATAAAAAAAACAACCACGAAGATACACAACAACCACAAAGATACACAACAACCACGAGGATACAAAAAACAACCACGAAGATACACAACAACCACAAAGATACACAAAACAACCACAAAGATACACAACAACCACAAAGATACACAAAACAACCACGAAGATACACAAAATGAACTCAAGGAGACTTACAATTACAATAAAGCAATAAAAAAAGGACACAAGGACTCAAAAAGGACAAACAACGGTTTCACGTCTCCTCACTGCCTGCCGAGATAGCTGTCTGTAGTTTGGGTCGCTTCTCTCCTACAATTCAATGTTAGAGTGGCAGTGCATTGCATTTGGCTAGGATTTATCTTGATGTAGTCAATGTTCATTGCTCAATGCAGAATAACGACTCCTCGTTTCACTATATGTCACAATCCTGGTTTTCTGTCACAACCTTAGTTTTCTGTCACAACCTTAGTTGTCTGTCTTGTCATGACTTGTCAGATCAGTTATCATCCCGGGGGTTTCACTACTAACAGGAAATTACACGAGACGCTTCCTCCCATGCGATCAGAGCGTTGTGAGATGATATTTTCTTTTCTTATCAAGCTCCACATTTACACAAGATACACAAAACAACCACGAAGATACAAAAAACAACCACAAAGTTACACAACAACCACAAAGTTACACAACAACCACAAAGATACACAAAACAACCACGAAGATACAAAAAACAACCACAAAGTTACACAACAACCACAAAGATACACAACAACCACGAAGATACACAACAACCACGAAGATACAAAAAACAACCACAAAGTTACACAACAACCACAAAGTTACACAACAACCACAAAGATACACAAAACAACCACAAAGATACACAACAACCACGAAGATAAAAAAACAACCACGAAGATACACAACAACCACAAAGATACACAACAACCACGAAGATACACAACAACCACGAGGATACAAAAAACAACCACGAAGATACACAACAACCACAAAGATACACAAAACAACCACAAAGATACACAACAACCACGAAGATACAAAAAACAATCACGAAGATACACAACACAACCACAAAGATAAACAAAATGAACTCAAGGAGACTTACAATTACAATAAAGCAATAAAAAAAAGGACACAAGGACTCAAAAAGGACAAAACAACGGTTTCACGTCTCCTCACTGCCTGTAGAGATAGCTGTCTGTAGTTTGGGTCGCTTCTCTCCTACAATTCAATGTTAGAGTGGCAGTGCATTGCATTTGGCTAGGATTTATCTTGATGTAGTCAATGTTCACTGCTCAATGCAGAATAACGACTCCTCGTTTCACTATATGTCACAATCCTGGTTGTCTGTCATAACCTTAGTTTTCTGTCACAACCTTAGCTGTCTGTCTTGTCATGATTTTATGTTGAAATTATGTTCTCCCTGTGTCTTGTATTCCTTCCTGTGTTATCCCTCCTGTGTCTCATTGTCACAGTTAGTTTTGTCTGGATTTCTCCTGTTCACCAAAACATACCCATCTGTGATGGAAAAAGAAAGTAATTTATTACATTTTTAAGACACGTAACTGTAACTGTATTCGGATTACTTTCAGAGCCATGTATTCAGTAACTGATCACATTTACAAAGTAACCCACACACACACACACACACACACACACACACACACACACACACACACACACACACACACACACCACACACACACACACACACACACACACAACACACACACCACACACACACACACACACACACACACACACACACACACACACACACACACACACACACACACACACACACACACACACACACACACACACACACACACACACTTCTGAGCTTTCCAAACCTTTAGAGAGTCATCGTGCAACAGGCTGAACGCGAGGACTTTGCACAATTCTGCAGACGATTGAAATAACTGAAAAAAAAGGAGACTCAAACCCACTGCAAGGAGACTCAAAACTACTGCAAGGAGACTGAAACCCACTGCAAGGAGACTCAAAACCACTGCAAGGAGACTCAAAACCACTGCTAAGATACAAAAAACGAATGCAAAAAGTAACATTAACTACAAAAGTCACAGAACGACCAAAAAGACCCAAAATGGTTATAAAGTGTGAAAAGGGACACAAGGAGACTCAAAACCACTGCAAGGAGACTCAAAACCACTGCAAGGAGACTCAAAACCACTGCAAGGAGACTCAAACCCACTGCAAGGAGACTCAAAACTACTGCAAGGAGACTCAAACCCACTGCAAGGAGACTCAAAATCACTGCAAGGAGACTCAAAACCACTGCAAGGAGACTCAAAACCACTACAAGGAGACTCAAAACCACTGCAAGGAGACTCAAAACCACTGCAAGGAGACTCAAACCCACTGCAAGGAGACTCAAAACTACTGCAAGGAGACTCAAAACCACTGCAAGGAGACTCAAAATCACTGCAAGGAGACTCAAAACCACTGCAAGGAGACTCAAACCCACTGCAAGGAGACTCAAAATCACTGCAAGGAGACTCAAAACCACTGCAAGGAGACTCAAAACCACTGCAAGGAGACTCAAACCCACTACAAGGAGACTCAAAACCACTGCAAGGAGACTCAAAACCACTGCAAGGAGACTCAAACCCACTGCAAGGAGACTCAAACCCACTGCAAGGAGACTCAAAACCACTGCAAGGAGACTCAAAACCACTGCAAGGAGACTCAAACCACTGCTAAGATACAAAAAACGAATGCAAAAAGTAACATTAACTACAAAAAGTCACAGAACGACCAAAAAGACCCAAAATGGTTATAAAGTGTGAAAAAAGGACACAAGGAGACACAAAGCATTGTTTAGCTAACGGCCCTTTTTTGCTGTAATAACTTCATATTTAGATTAAAGTCTAAGATGTGGTTCTCCGTGTGTCGGTGCTCCTCCGATGTCACAGAGGAAATTAAACTTTAATATGACATCACTTTCATTAGAGCAACACTCTTCCTGCAGACACACTACATATATACACACACACACACACACACACACACACAACACCACACACCACACACCACACACCACACACACCACACACACACACCCACCCACACACACACACACACCACACACACACACACACCACACACACACACACACACACACACACCACACACACACGTTTCCTGAGCTGAAAACAGTGTTTCAGGTTTTATACATTTTAAAAGCAGCGGAAATGCCAGAGTTGGGCAGAAACTGGGTAATAAAATAAAAAAGAGCTTTCCTGTGTAACATGAGGAGGAAAGTGTGTGTGTGTATGTTTTGTGTTGCAGAAAGGTTGTTCTAACGTTATCTGTGATGTGTGGTAAGACGTTTTGCCCCAAAGATTTTCATCTATGAACGCCTCCAAAGCGCGCGCACACACACACACACACACACACACTTTATATTTCAGAGCCAGCTTATTAACATTACCCGTCAGGAATAACATTGATATTCTCACTTTTAAAAGGAGAGTGACTTTAGGGACTCCTTAAACTTCAGACATTTTGTTTTGAGTTATGAAAGCTAAATCTTTTTGGCAGTGAGATGCATTTGGAAAACATTTTGGCACAGGCGTGAATTGTTTATCTTTCAGCTTTTGGAAGTTCACCCTCAGCTCCTGCGATGGAGTCAACAGTCGGAGCGTTGAGGACAAAAAATGTCTCCATTGAAACCCATTTTCACAGCAACATTCATATCAAACAGCCATCGCTAAGTGAGACATTGATTGATGTTACAATATGCCATGCTTTCCTCACCCTGGCAGAACATGGTGCATTTAGGCTTTTCTCTTCCAGACTAAAAACAGTTCCTAAGGTTTCCTCATTATGTGACGAATACACGTTCCTGCTTTCATGCACACAAAAATAACTCAAGTACATACAATGATGTTGCTATTCAGTGGCGTTTCAGACCATT